TACGTCGAGGGTATTGCAGTATGCAGTCTTTCTAATTGACAATGTATGCCTCGGTCACATAAAGCTAATTCTGATCAAAGGATACCACATGTCAACTTTACATACCATATGAAACGAAATTACTGTTTAAGGTTTGACGTCATCGGAAATATAAGATCATATAATGACGGGCACTTAGTGGGATACAGAGAAAGAATAGACAAGAACAAACAGAGGAGGGAAGACAAAATTTAGATTAGATGTCACAGAGTTGAGGTAGCTGCAAATGGGTTTGCAATAGTAACCCTTGAGAAAGGCAAGGTTTAAGAAGAAGAGTTTTGGAAGAATAAACGTATTCAGTTTCATCGACCATACCCGCCGTGTAAATCTAGTTCAAGTCCAAGTGATGCCATGCCCACTGAGTGAGAACCGAGCTCAAGCATGGATTTGGTGCTCAAGCCTTATATCTTGTTCCGTTTATAAATTGTAATGAAATCTTATTTTCTCAATGTTTTGGGGGAAATGAGGAGACTGAAAGCGGAATACTGTTTTCAATGTTTACATTTGACTTTTCGGTCGTTTGACATGATTTAAATGAGTTACAAGAAAGTTGGCTTTGAGCACAAAAACCATGCTTAAGCATGAGAACGGATTTATGAATACGGAACCCGGAGTACTACCCTTACACTTACCAAGGATTTTCATCAGCCTGCCTCTTTAGAATCATTGTGTTGTAAGTTCGTCCATAAGTTGCGGTCTTGGTCACCATTAAGATATTACCATTTGCATATAATGATGATTTTTTCATAAAACCCTGATATACATCTATATATAGTATCAATCTCGCTAAAACTTTAAAAATCATACAGGTTAAATTTAATTCCCGAACTTATAGTAAAAATACCCTTTTCCAACTTACTCCCAATTGTTTTACTCCGACATTGCAAAAAAAATCAAAAAAATCAAGAGAGTCGTATCCACATTGAACTTATGACATTGTTTAAATAGTCTTTGTTTATTTGTGCATTTAAAGACGTGTCAGGATTTGGTGGTGAGGAAAAGCCGGAGTTCCCGGAGATAAACCACCGAACTACGGCCAGTACCTGCCCAACGTATGTCTCGAACCCGCGAACCAGTGGTTCTCTGGAGGGCTAGTGGTAGCAGAATGTCAGACATCTTGGCCGCTCGGCCACCACGGCCCCTTGTTCAAAAAATATCGAGACATACATGTGTAATGGTAAAGTAAAAATGAGGATTCTAACATACAAGGCAAAAATAACTATTGTTATCAACTTAGACCGCTTTCATTATCCGGACAACAGCCAAGGCAATATGAAGACGGATTTCTCTAAAAACACGAATGAAAAGGAAAATTGAGGGCAGTGAAAAAAGACAGATACCAAGTGTTGAAATGTAGGCAACAGAAAAGTTTGGTCTCTTCAACGACCTCTTAATAGAGAACGCAATAGAATTTTTATTTATGATATGAGTAAATTATTTTATTTTTAAAGTTGGGTTGTTCTTTTTCAAAATAATTGTCAAGTCGTGATACTTCGTTGTCATGTCAACAAACCGATGTCCAATGCAAGCTGATGCCATAATTTGCAGATGTTAAAGAAATGGTCCTCTTGTGCAGCTATATGAGGTATGTGGAGTCATTTAAATGAACGCGTGATCCCTAGCCGACAAAACAAATTGGTAAAACAAAAATAACACATTTGTTTACTTATTCAAGATTTGGATTTAAAAGAGCACTGCAGGAGCATGGTTTGTCCGTAATTCTACGGTAAATAACCGTGTATTAATGGACGATTTATAACAGAACAACACTCTTCCAAAAACCTCCCCCATGAATGAAAACAAGCGAGCCGCGGGAGTGGTTTCCGGTACCCGCATGTGTATGAAGAGTTGCCAGCGGACAAACAAAATCGTTTGTATTTGACTTCTAGATCTACTTTAAACCTGTTAAGCCCACGGTCAGAATGGTCTTCGGAAATTACTGCTTGAAGTCAGTGTTAACTGTTTATCCTCTGTCGAACAAATAGCGACTAAAAATGAAAAAAAAAGAAAATCCTCCCACTCTATATCAAGGTTTAGTAGCAAAAATAGGACAACGGTCCACAGGGTCATAACTTATTAAAACGAGCAGCTTTTTTATGAAATGAAGACATAGACATCACTTCAAAAAATCAGCGCGCGCACATGAACAGCCTAATTATCATAATTATAATATCTAGGTCACCTTTCTTATCATTCGCAAATGGGCAATGAGGTAGACACAAAAATACTTCCATTGCAATTTAATTGGTAAAATAAATATAATCAACACATGTTTGTATATTATGGTGGAAAATATAACTCGGAATTCGAAAAGGTACGAAAAATAATCACCTCAGACAGCAAGCCGCCTTCGTTAATTATGTTTTACAATATGTTTTCACCCCCGTAATATAGTCCACCACAATTCACGCACATACATTGACATTTTGTAAATCATACATCTGAGCGCACCTATTATTTTCCACTAATAAACCTAACCAACCAAAAGCGTCGTAGCGGTGCAGTCATGGTAGAATTTTAAGATATAACATAATGAGAATGGATCATGAAATGTTGATGTAGACTTTTGTATGTAAGCAATCGGAAATAGAGCAGAAGTTCAAATAGTGTTTCTCCTGAGAACGGCATGAAATGATAATCAATTATGTATGTGAATTTCTGAGATATAATTCAATTTGGGTTACCGTTAATTGTTGTTTTTTGTGTTCCTATTTACCGACATCGTATAGAATTAATTAGAAGTCATCCGCCAATATCATGAATCTATAACTTTTTTTTTGTCATGTATTATTCTCATTTTAGCATTTTTGAATTTTGATTTGCCAACTTTTGAAATTAAAATATTTTGCTGAAATGTTACAATAACATTATTCATTTTGTTGTTATTATTATGTCAATTTGATAATTTTTGTATAACATATTTAATAAAAAAAAATATCGTTCATACTTATTCTCTTTCCCATATCTTGTTTCCAATATGGTTTTAGTTTTAATTTTGTATTACCAGGTACTCTATTACATTTCGATCATAAGTTATATAGAGGTTCCCCAGAGAGTGATGGTTGGTTATCATGTTTATCTACCTCGAGTTAATTAATTTTCAAATTGTATAAAGACACAAGGTTTACCGGTTTACAATTTAAACATGATAACATACATGTACCATCACGTGTTTGGGATATTTTTTCTTCTATAACGTTCATATTTATCTGGAAAGCCATATGTTTCCCTGGAAAATACACTATGTAGGCTTCCGATGGGGGAAACAATTGCCGTGAGTATTGACATTACAACGGCAGATGACGTTGCAAAGCATTGTTACGTGACGTCATAAGTAAAAATTTGACCGATGAAATCACGTCCAGGGTGTTACCCACTATTGGGTACCCAAAAATAATTACCAACTCCTTTCATGTTTATCCAATGAATCGGGAGTGAGGAAACCTATAGGGGTTGTTGGAGAAATATTTGTATATATTTCCAATCATATTTGTCGATCCTGCTTCTGGTCCTGATTTTGGGCATAAGCCCAAGCGAGGGAGGTCATAGGTTCTCTGTCCTGACTAACACAAACTATAGTCCTTTGAATTTGTACTTGCTTGTAATCGCTCTCTGCTTGATGTTCCGCTTTCGGAAAGAAATACTAAGCCCGGTGTCAGAATGAAAATAATGTAACTGGGTTGGATTTATTGCATATCCGTGTCTAAATGTGGCTTTTCCAGTGTAATTCAACTTTAAAGTGAACCGCCCTAAGTAGCTCAACATATATTTTTCATATGACCACATGTGTTGCATATAATTCAACCTTAAGGATCCCGCCCCACTGCCAAAAAATGAAACTATGCATTCGACACATATCTTTCCAGCATAACGTTAGCTTTGATAAATCATTTTTGAAACGAAAGGTATATCTTGCAGGACTTTTATGAAATAAAATGGAGATGATATAAACAAAGAACGATCAGTAAACGTGTTCTGGTGTAAAATATTCTGCGGGGCCAGACTTGGGCTCGAATATTGGACTTGAGATTGTTATACCATCGCTAAAACCGATTTAGCTGTCTTGACAACGGAAGTGGACGAGCTAAAATGTGCTACTGAAATGTCCAAATGGAAGTTGAGGGGTGGGTTTTGTAAACATGAAAACGGCAGTGCGGTGGGACAGGGACCCTTAGAAACTTAAATGAAAAATCCGACTAATATATTTTCAGTTCTAAATAGTCATTGTACCAAATACACGAGTCGAACATGAATAAAACAAATGTAAGCAGAGTGTACAAAGTAGGACATTTTGACAAAAGATAGCGCATGTCACCTTTCCTCTTGAAAAAGATAATTGAAACTAATTAATGATATATCTTACAAACAGTTGAGATCAATCTTGTCATTCGAAATAAATGAAATAGTCCGTATGTCTTCTTTTAAGGCCCCCTCTACATGCACTATTATAAGAGATAACTTTTATCAAAATTAGAGAAATCTCTTTTTACATGAAGGTATATGTAAGACACCCACATTTAGTTGCACTTGTGACATCTGGTTGTTGATAAAGTTTGCCATAGAAAAGAATCACTTTAGCATAGAGCTGCTTCGTCCTTTTAGGACTCTCCAATATTACTAGGAGCTGAAATGATGGAAACACAAATTAGTTTAAAGTACTACTGAAACAAGTGGGAAATTGCGATAAAACCCCCTTAAATCTACATATCTTTTACTTTATAACAGCCTCTTTCGGAATCATACGTTGAGTTGGCTTCACAATTGGGAAACACATGTCGTCTTTCAACCCCGCAATACGTTGCCTGACACATAACGAACCTTTTATTATAAACTGGGAAATTTAAACTAACAAAAGAATGACGCTATAAGTTATACCGTCCTTATCTTTCATTGGGTCATGCTTCTCTCTAGTCAATCGTTAGCGACAAGGGTCACATATCCAGTGTTGTTAATCAAGCGACATGAAGGAGATTCTAGGAATCTGTGTAATCCTGTTGGCCTTAGTCTTATGTATCCATGCAGCCTCGCGTCCACATATAGTATTTGTGGTGTCAGACGATTTAGGTAAGCTTCATTTTAAATGTCTCTTTCTACTGTTTTTACAGAAAACGTAGGGGCCGAGGTGGCAAAGTGGTTAAGGCGTCTGACATTCTGCTACCACTAGCCCTCCACCACTGGGTCGTGGTTCGAGACCTACGTGGGGCAGTCAGCAGAGACTGGCCGTTCGTCGGTGTTTTTTCCCCGGGGATTCCGGTTTTCCTCCACCAAGCATGTCCTTTAACGCAAACAAACAAACTATAGAACACGTAACACAATTAATATATCCAGACACTCTAGATCTTAATGTTAGGGCTTAGTCCTTCAGAGCAGAAAACGTCTGATAATTTATGTGACACGAGGGTGAGATCCATTCAATCCTCGATGAAGGACGAAGCTTGAAAGTTTGGTTCTAGATTGGGTGTTGATATTTGTTATATAACATTCATTCAATTTTAGAGGAATGTGTCTCAGTCTTTCAGGTTTATGTATTCCTCGTATATTCCTCATTTATATGATCCCCGTACAGTACCACTGCAAAACAATGTAAATACGCCTAGGAAACTGTTCACCAGCAGGACTAAAGCTTTGATATTTTATTTCATGTAAAGAATATCATACAATGCGGGTCTGTTATGAGTGTAAACACGTCAGCGGGGCGAGACAGGAATTCAAACCAAGGACCTCAGATTGTAATACTTCGCTCTAACTGACTGAGCTAACTGTTCAAAGGAAGTGTTCTGGCCAAACTATCCACAGCTACATACACAACGAAATAAGGGGTAGGTTACTGTGTATACAAAAACCAGAGTGCAGTGGGACTGGGATACTTCAGTCAATTTTATGAAGTCAACAAAAAACATGTACAGACTGATTGAGAGAGAAGACCAGAACCTTTCCCCAAAGTCAAAACAAAGATATCAACAAGAATTACAGTAACGGTAAATTAAAAACTATAGTGGTACAAACGAAAAGAACAGACATTATGTTTTCTGCACCACATGTGATTCTCCACATAATGTCTCTAAAAATCCATGATAAGTTATAGGTCAACATCGAATTGGTCTTGGTAATCTTGGTAAACACATAATTATTACTTAAAATTTAGATCATGAGCACAAGTTAGAATTACGTGCATTCTCCACTATAATCTATGATAAGAAATGTTATTAATATCATTGTAACAGGATTGGACTGTCCAAGTCCCACTGTCAACCCTGGTTTGATTTGGTTACCCCTACGTTCCTCTGGTCAATACAGTACTCTTTACAAAACTCTCAAAATACCACGTGAACACTGAATGTAAATCTGACAACTCCAATGTTAGTACCAGAAGACCGTCTCAAAGATTCCATGATATACAGCCAAATGTTTAACCTAACGGGAGCGAGCAAATCAATGCTATCGTTTCTCGGGGTCAAATCCGAAATGTTATCCAATAAGTAAATGGTGTATCGGTAATTTGCATTTTTAACAATAAGAAGTAATAAGTTTATCTTATTCTTTATTCTCTATTACATTACAGTTTTATATAAATTTATAACATAATCTAGATATGTTTCATCTCGCTGAATGCAAAACAATCATTATATACATAGTGTACAAGAAACAGGAGAAACAACTCTGAATCACCCCTGTTACATCATTTGTATCTTTATCCTACTCTAGGTCTTATACCACGACTGCTACATATATGTATAAGTATCACTGTAGATATGGGATCATTACATATATAAATATTTTAACTGCAAGCCCCTATATTATATAACTAGCAGAGGAAATTGCTTTTGTAATACTATGACTGCAGTCTGATCTGTGTCATTTGAAGCTTTCCTTCCGCCTCTAACTACCCGAGACAGTCGTTAGATATAAACATGCAAGTGACCTTCGGGTGTCTCTAGTGCTTCGTTTGCATTAACGATATACACACTTCATTCCTTCCTATTCCGAAATAATTAGGGCATCATTTTTATCTACATTTGTAATAAATTTTGGGTTATAGCTTAAATATGTGTATTGAACGGAGTATTTTTTATACATTCAAGCCGGTAATGTTGGATATCGATTTAAGTGAACGCTATTGCCAAATCCTGTTACTACCAGATCAGGAACATCGGCTGTATTCGGCAGTTTCTAACTGCAGATGTATGCAAGATTTTGGTTCATTCACTTGTTACCTCTCGGTTGGATTATGGTAACACCCTGCTCTGTGGGATATCTGACAAACTAACTAGTCGTCTGCAGAGGGTCCAGAACACTGCAGCACGGCTAGTTACTCGTACTCGAAAGAGAGAGCACATCACCCCTGCGCTTTATTCGTTGCACTGGTTACCTGTACGATACAGGTCGCAGTACAAAATTCTGGTATACACATACAAGGCACTGAATGGAACAGCTCCTCCGTACTTACAGGAACTTGTTACCCTGTATCAGCCGACAAGGTCACTGCGGTCGGAGTCAGAATCTTTGTTGTGTGTCCCAAAATCTCGTACTGTGACCTACGGAAACAGATGCTTTGGGAGGGTTTCAGCTACGTTGTGGAATACCATCTGCAATTAGGAAGTCAAATACCCTGGCAAAGTTCAAGAGGGATATAAAAACTCACCTCTTCACGTCTGCATTTTAGAATCTTTGCAAAGACGTCATGTAAATACCACCCTTTTATTAGTTCAATTATGTGCACATTGCTTGTTAAATGTATGAAAGTGATTGGAAACCTTTGTTGTTTGTTTTCACAATTATAACCATTACTATTATCCATATGTTGTAAAGTGCCTTCGAGTATTTTTACAAATTATCCTGGGCGCTATATAAATGCTGTATATTATTATTATTATTATAATGCATATTTACTTTAATGCATATTTACTTGGATCATTCGAAATCAACATGAATGTAAAAAGTCCGTTTGATGCCTTCGTGTAAGTATTTCTATGTACCTACAATTAGCACTGAAATGAAGAACAAAATCAGGACAATACCGAAGTGTAACCGAAATTGATAAAAATAGGGCAACACATGAACAGAACGATATTATCATGCAGACCCTTGCGATCGTACAAAGAAAATAAAACAGGTCTTGAAGAAAGATCAGCGTCCTCTGTTTCATCGACAATATCAGCCATTTAAATCTTGGTGATGTCCTAGTAATGCCACGCCCGCAAAGTGGGAGCCAGGTAAATGACAACGAAACCACAACCTATACTGATGAGAATGATATAAAATCGTCGATTTATAAACCGTACAAGAAAATGTTTTTATAAATGAAATGATGACTGCCATCATAACATTTGTCCAACTGTTTTCATCATGCAGTAACCTGCATCACTCAACCTTTTTTGTAAGTTTCTCCTTCAACATTTGACATCTATCACCGTAATCCTCATATTTCGACCAAACACGTGTGTTTTGAATCAACTATGACCTCACCGTGGTGGGCAAAACCGTAAGTTGTAAACAAGCAAGAGAAAGTTGATGAAAAGAAATTTGTCCTTGTTATCATATTTCTAAATGTAACATTCACTACATTAAACTACTATAATACATGTTTTATGTATTGTTAGTTGTAGCTAATGTAACAGCATGTTACATTGTCTTATAGTCAAAACTAAAACAAGAAGTTTGCACTAATGCTTTCATTTCTATTTATATGGGTTTTTAGGTAGTAACAACGTAAGTGATTATGACGTAATAGTTCTCTGAGTAGTTTTTTTTATTGCACATAGTGTGAGTGCGCTAATTCATCACAATGCTCTTCTGTTCATATTCCATAAATCACTAAATGTTTTTTCCGCTAAAATTAGAACTTTAACAGTAATATGCAGTGAAATAATGTAGGTATGTCCAGAGTTGTCCGGCGTCAACCACAAAGAACATATAGATGAAAACCATCTATGCTGTAGGGGCGGATAGGTAGTTTGAAAAACAATCACGAAAATATGTAAGCGTGAAAATAAATTGCTTAACAGTTGGCTGATGTGGGACACTTGCCATGTGGTGTCTTATCTTTGTTTCACATGTTGTTCATTCCCATGACTCCTGATACTAATATAGGGCCAACAGTGTCATGTGGAATCTCAGTGATAACACTATTGGAATCAAAACGTTGGTCTTTAATGAATTGCTAAATATAGATACACTCAGTCCCTCTTAAACACACACCCTATACATACAAATTGATACATCTACATCCAAATCTTAACACGTACCTCCCCCACTACAATACACACATCTGTTTTGTCTTTTCTACAGTTTAAACAATCATAACCTATGACATTGAACAATTTACACGATACAAAAGGTTATAATTCAATCTCAATACAGAAAAAGGCAATACAACACCATACTTGATATTGATTTCATTATATTGATACACCTGTATTTTGGATGCATTTTATATTTTCTGTAAAACCCTTTCTTGTTACAACCCCTGAATTAATATTAATTTTGCTTCACGAAATGTGAACAGCAATGACTGACAAATGACGGTTTCCCGGGACGAAACAACGACGTAGGGTTACCATATATCGTGCAATGGCGCTAAAATATTCTAAATTCATTCTTGTTTAACTTTATTCATTTGATCAATGGATACCTGCTGAACTAGAGTTTGGTTGCTGTGGAAATACAATATGTGCATTACCAAAGTACACACAGTACCTTGAATTACAACACCTGGATACTGTCTGTATCACTATATAGTAAGGTTCATTAGATAATGTAGTAAATAACAATAGAAGCTAAATAGTCGTAAGTTATTAGTGAAATACTGTAGAAATGGGCTTTTCTTTCCTATATACTCACTCGAACATCAACACGTAAGTATGAGTCTTAAACCTTTACCTACAGAGCGACGCTACTGTGCAATGTTAATCCCAACGCTATTTAAATACAACACACCTTGAAAATTTGGGTCTCTTCACAAACTTGTTATCACGAATACGATACTAATGTGATCGTTCATATCGCAGCTATACCATAGACTATCAGTCTGACAATGGTGTTATGTTACCCAACTTCCAAAAGTTCAACGGAAGTATAACCGTCGGCAATGATTACCTCACAGCTAAACTATAGACCTCCATTCTTGCAATGGTGTAATGTTACCACATATCCAATTGTATGACGGAAATGTGATTGTAATTTCAAATCTTATTCTGATAGAAACAGAATGGCAATGATCACCTCACAAGTGAACCAAAGCGTTACAGTATACTACGTTGCTGGTGAAATATCACCTCATAGCCAAACGCATTTCCAGCGGTGTGACAATACATACTATCACGATCGTTAATATTCCTTTCACCATTTTTAATGTAGTTATCAGCCATCTCCTCCTGGTGAAGGTTAATTGTAACATGCTGCTACTGAACAATTTACAACACAAGGTTTCGAGAGATAAATGATAGTGAAGAATATGACAAAATGTAGGGTCGTCACCATGTTCTCATTAGAACATATGCTAATTGTGTGATATGAAGCTATAGGGAATGGTGTTGGTTATGTTCACTAGTGTGCCTTGCTTCGTTGATATTTGCCCCGTTCCTGCTTTGTGGACGTTGATTTACTAGAATTTGCCACAAATTGTCACGGCAGATGGCTTCGATGCAGAAAAAGACGAAAGACATATGGTCCTTTTAATCTTGTACATTTTATGGCTTCCGTGTAAATCTTCCTTAGTTAATTTGTTTGTCATAGTTTTATCTATTTTGAAATAAAAATACGGTTATGTGGACAGTGTGGTAGTATGCTGTTTTTTTGTTAGAGTTCACCTGTACGAATATACATTCCATCAACTCTCATCAGTGTATTACGATGTTCAGAACGTTTTTTTTTGTACTTTGATTACAGGTTGGAATGACGTTGGTTGGCACAATCAACACATAGGTAGCTACTATTTGTCCAAATTTGCACACGAGGGCGTCATATTAGACAATTCTTATATGCAGCCAGTCTGCTCACCGTACGTATGTCCGAATCTATAATGAAACAAATCAATGCGTGTTTTAACTCTCATCTTACATTAACGTCTAGCATAATCTAGATATGAATATAACTAATATAAAACCCCATTTATGTAACTAGTTAAAATCTGTCTTTACGTAAGAAATTTCAATTTCAATTTACGAGTGTTTTTGACAGCTTATTATTGTTTTCGTTTGCACATTTTGTATTTGAGACCCCAGAGTTAAGATAATATGAAATCAGTCTCTTACGGCAGGATATTCTAGATGTAAAATGGAACATAACATAACATTAACAATTATCTCATTGACTGACACTAAACGAATATTTAATACTATGATCAGTACGGTAATGGCACTGTTTATTCTTCATGCACAGCCAGTATCGACAAAAAATGAAAGAGACGAGTTTTGAATGCTCGAAAATCAGTAGTCTCAAACTTCCATTATGTAATTATGATATTTCTTAATGAAGCAACGAAGATTCTTTTTTTATCCATTTTCTAGTTTTAAATCCCAATCACAATAATAACTTAGCGGTCTTCAATAATGTGTTTGTTTCAACTTGGTAATAAGATTTCCTCATCAGATGTAATGTCTAGAAATAATTAATAGAAATGCACGTCAGGAGGCATCTATCAAAATCATGTGTTTGCATACTCCATAACAAAGTAAATATGTTAATGGCTGAATTGATTGCGTAAGTATCCTGTTACGTTATGTTGCAGATCAAGAGGGAGTGTTCTGAGTGGATATTATCCCTTCCATACTGGATTACAGGTAGGTCTGGACAAATCTGTCAAAAGTCTGGTTAGCATACATCATTTACAAATTGAAAGTTAAAATACTACATCGGTCAGGACTTTACCTTTAACATAAACCATCATCTTTTATATCATATATTAAAAAAATGATGCGGAACGTATCTCAAAGAATTTTTACTAGCAAATGGCGACCAATTTTGAAACACCAGACCACTTTTTATCAATCAAGTGACGATTTGGAAAGAATTAAAAAATACTTTTCTTCTCACTTTACAGAATAGATTAATGAAGTTGAGATTCTCCGATACTGCTGTTTATAACATTTTATTACATACTTACTAATAAATACGGGTGTTTTGTATATGCGATACTACACAATTGCTCTAACCCATATCAGCCCTCGTATCAGCCCGCAAAACCCATATCACACCCCTTTTGGGAAAAAATCGCTTTTTAATATTTCAAAAATGAAATAAATCATAAATTAGTAGTTTTTATTAGTAAGTATGTAATAAACAGAATAAAACACGCCCTTTTCCATATCACACCCAGTATCAACCCTCGACCAATATCAGCCCTCGGGCCTTCGGCCCTTGGGCTGATATTGCAGTCTCGGGTTGATACTGGGTGTGATATGGAAAAAGGCATGTATTTTTATTCTCTATATATCATACCATAATGTCAGAAACATATTACACAATAAATAGAGAACAACCAACATCAATTACTAGTGTATTAACGATATAACCAAATTGTTAGAAGAATTTCGGAGAGTTGTCTTCTTTTTCTGCTACAATTATTTGCAATTTAAAAACTACATTAAACTCAAATTTACATAATTATGAAAAGATACCTCTTTCTTTGTTCAGTAACACATGCTTTGGATTTTTCACAACATTACAGTTAATGTAATTTGACATTTGGGCTTATATATTGCTGACAAACAAATTGTTACCAAACCTTATACAAAAATCTTACTCATTTATATTTTTCATTTTAGCACGGTATAATTATGGATTCACAGCCCAAGTTTTTGCCTTCCAACTTCACTCTACTTCCGGAAAAGCTGCAGGAGCTTGGATATGCAACACACATGGTTGGGAAGTAAGTAACAGAATGTTATTCACGTCATTCACATGATCATATAATATGTAAACAGTTCACACATATATCACCGACATGATCCAAATCGAATATGGTCGGTAAATAAACATCTAGATCACATTTGTCTCTCACGTAATTTACAAGAAAGACCCTGGAGCACATCGGCCACTATGTAAGTAACAGGTCAGATATTTTATAGCTTATATGTAAGTAACTGGTCAGATATTGTATTGTTTATATGTAAGTAACTGATAAGATATTTTTATAGTTTATATGTAAGTAATTGGTCAGGTATTGTATAGTTTATATGTTAGTAACTGGTAAGATATTGTATAGTTTATATGTAAGTAACTGGTCAGATATTGTATAGTTTATATGTAAGTAACTGGTCAGATATTGTATTGTTTATATGTAAGTAACTGATAAGATATTTTTATAGTTTATATGTAAGTAATTGGTCAGGTATTGTATAGTTTATATGTAAGTAACTGGTCAGATATTGTATAGTTTATATGTAAGTAACTGGTAATATATTTTATAGTTTATATGTAAGTAACTGGTAAGATATTTGTTCTGCACAAGGATCACATATGCCACTCTCGGAGTTAGAAATGAAGCACCCGCATCTTACATTTTACTCACTACCTGAGAGATTGATATTCGTTGTACGAGTGTTCATTCATTTCCTTTAGAGATTGACACATTTTAATAAGTAATAAGTATATAAGTAACCTTACTTAATTGTGAGACTGATAGTTTTGTTTAAGTCTAAATATCTTGCAAGAAAGTGTGTGTGTGTTAGGGTGTGTTCTTGTGTAAGGTTCATATCGTGGTTGAGAGGTTGACAGCTTGTGTTAGTTCTAAATATAAACCCCTGCTGGGGATATTGGCATATTGCTTTAAATGTTAATGCATTGTTAGAGAGATTGACAGTTGTGTGTTCTTTAACATCCCTTTCATTAGCACTGTATGCCATTTGTGAAACTGCATGGTTTAAGGTCAATGCCACACTCATTTTAATTTGACGTCAAAGTTCTGACGAATACACCAGAGAGTGTCTTTACGACACAAATGGATGTATATATTGCAATGAATGACTACTTTATGTGATATCAAATACAGGAATAAATGTGGTATTTCTTTTGTTACATACTTACAATTTCTCTTTATAAGTATATTTATTTCAAAATGTTTCTCATAACATTCCTGCATCAATTCTTAATTGGCTTCCTCAAATTGTGTTCTTAACAGCAACTGTGGACAAAACGACTTCGACAACGACAAAAGGCCCATAGACAATGTGATCAGTAGATTAAAACCGATTAATTATGTAGATCCAGATACACGGAATTCGCGCTATTCCGTCTTTGCGTATTGCAGAGTTATCTTCTCTTGGGAGCAGCTATTGATTGTTACGTCATTGGTGTGTGGGAGAAAATTACGTCGTTTTCCCGAAAATTGATGACGTTACTCTCACAAACGACTGACGTAACAATCAATACCTGCTCCCAAGAGAAGATAACTCTGCAATACGCAAAGACGGAATATGGTACTGCAACCTCATACCACTTTGTATGCGTTGGTATTAAAACTGACTGTTTTACTGATGTAATCTTCCACAGGTATGCAAAAAAATACAAGGTTGATTTCGTATTAATATCATATCAGATTCTATCGATTTGACTATCACAGATGGCATTTGGGATTCTGTAACTGGAAGTACACACCAAACCACAGAGGATTCGACAGTTTTATGGGATACTATAGTGGCGCTGAGGATTATTACACCCACCAAGCAGGTATATTAAGAAATGTGTCTGCGATTGGTGTCACGCCGTCGTGGTTGAATGTACTGTATACCGGGAAAATGTCCCCCAGTCAAATGTTCGCCCTCCGTCTATGAAACCAATCTTCGCCAAGTGTTAATTTCGCCCTTCAAATTTTACTTCTATGTAGATATATATTATGCTGTTAAATTATATATTCGCTGTAAATTCACTCTCATGACGGAGGGCTAAAAAGACGAAAATTAAATTACAGCGAAAATTTCCCGGTATACAGTATTTAATTACGACATGTCATATGAGACGTATGCAGAATGAATGCCTAATTATATTAAACCACATGAATTCAGCATGATTGTAGTATTTGATCACATATATTGCTTGTATTCATCAATATTATATGTAGTATTATACAACAAGTATTCATCATATTTGTCTGCAGTATTATACAACATGTATTTATCATGAATTGTTTTATCACATGTATTGCGATCTTTATTAACATAAAAAACCGTAACCTGTTTATAACTCTTTAACTTGAAATGTTTAAGCAACCTTAGAGCTTATTCATTTGTGCTTACTCACATAATCATAGAGCAAATACAAATGTTTGGTTTGGTTGTATAGGATTAAACGACCTATCAATAGCTGAGGTCATTTAAAGATGGGCCGCCATGTGCTCTATGAATGTTTGTATGATTGTATTTATAATGGAGGCAGGGTGTGCTAGTGTATATGCCTCCTTGTGATAGCGCTGATCTTATGCTGACTTAAGAGTGTTCTACGGGACATCGTGTCATTAGATGTGTTATTTAAGATACAATATGTGCTAGTATATATTCTTATTTCATGGTCGTGATGTCTTCCCTAAAGGTTTTGTTTGACGTGTAGAAATGCGAAGATGTGAAAATTCAGATCAGTGTGATAAATATTTTGATTAGCGTATACAAATGCTACATTTTTTTAATATATAGGTTAAGTCGGTTTATGTATTTGTATATATCGACTTATCTGTAATTCCGGAGTGTGATGGTTATGTATTTGTATATATAGACTTATCTGTAATTCCGGAGTTTGATGGTTATGTATTTGTATATATCGACTTATCTGTAATTCCGGAGTGTGATGGTTCCTTACACAAACACAAAGCTTGCTGTTACAGGGCGAGCTTACGACTTCCGTCTGAACGACGAGATCCATCACCCACCAACCGGAGAATATTCAACAGTACGTTACAAAGATGGCTTTTATTAGAATGAGAGAATAAAAGGAAATAATTTCGCTCTGTTGTGATGAAAAACAGAAACGAGCAACTCCCGTACCAACACTTTTTCTTCTTTTTATAAGAATTGTTTGCACTATAGTCTTGCATTTTTTTTACGAATATCTTCTATCGTTAACTTGGTTTGAGAGTTAAAGTACAATGTAAAAATAAGACAGAGAAATTGAAGCACAGAGAAAAAGTGAGTGATAGTAAAGTAATATAATGTTCATTTATCTTGAGTGTGTGACAGATTGAGAAACCTGTTGAGAGTTGGGGATTTTTCTGTGTCACCCTCAATGTAGGGGATGATTGTTTTTCCCTCACCCTTCACATGTGTGTCTCCCGTTTAAGCAAGGGAAAGATCAGCTTGTCACCCCCTAGGAGGAGATAGCCTCGTGCCGATTAGCACGTGCTCAATTGTAACATCATTAAAATGTGTCACCGGTAATTGTGACGTCATCAGAAGTGAATGACGATATTCATACCCCACATGTGTTTTTGTTTATAAACATGGCAGACTACTGTCGGTCGAGGTTTGACTGATATATTAGGATGGGAGAAAAATAATACAACTGACAGTAGTCAGCGCGTGCTATTGTCTGATCGAAGCTATCTCCCCCTAGGAGTTATAATGCTGATTATCCCCTGCTAAAACGGGAGAAACACTTGCTTCGGTTCGAAGAAAGAATAATGAAAAATACAGAAGAAAACAGTGTAACAAACCAACCTGTATACAAAGACCACATTCGGGAAGTAAAAAGGTGTCTCTTAACGCAGGTAGTCTCTAATACAGGTTCAAACTACTATGAAACCACTGCAAACGGAAATATCAAAAGTGACCTCTTAATACAGGTGGTCTCTTAATACAGATTCAGTTGATAAAAAAATGAAATGGAGAACATTTGAAATGAACTCCTAACACAGACGGTCTCTTAAGGGACGTGATCGCATAAACAGGTATGACTTAATAATTACCGTACAACAATAAACTGAAATATATCGTCGTTTGAGAGATATGGGTGACATCTGTTTAATTGTACATCAAATCAACAAGCGTCTCAGATAACCTCCCTTGGTAAGTTTTATCACCATGATCAATATTATATAGTTATTTGTGTACTTTTTTGTGAGCACAAGTCATGCTGTTGCCATGGTTTTACACCTTGAAATGACGATAAAAACCTGATGAATTGTGTAGTGAAGCTAATTAGAATTCGGAACACGTGTTGTTTGTGTTGCTAGGAGACGTACACAAAACGGGTAATGGACATAATACACCATCATGATCCTCAACACCAGCCTCTCTTCCTGTATGTTGCCTATCAAAGCGTCCATTCACCCTTACAGGTAACGTTTGTATCTATCTAACATACGAATGGCTTACCATCACAAGTTACGAATAAATAAGGCATCTGTGTTAATTTTTTTTTTTTTTGTATACAGCATTTCTAAAGCGCCATATGGAATATCACCTTAATGACGCTAAGCCGCTGAATCCCTTGTGAGAGGAGACATATATCCAATCACCTTTAGCATAATTCGACCCAAATAGATAATAGTAAAGCACACCAGTAAACAAATGAAATAGTGTACTGATAGGTAGAAAATATGTGTAAATAATTCATAATCGTTAAGAAAATAATAGTTCAGTTCGTAAGCATGTTTTCACTATTATAATGTTATAGATTTATTTTCTATGTTTTTGGTGAGATAAATTCTAGAATATGATAAAAACGTATAGCTATAGAGGGTAATTGGTACTAGAATGTCATCGATAATGGGCAATTCTAAAAGCTAACACACTTTTTCTTAGAAAGTGTAATAATATACTCGTTTAGGGTGCTACTGTACTTACCAATTAAAAAGATCTTTGCCTAGCTTAGAGGTAGGACAAAAGAAGGTCTTCCTGATGTGGACGATCTTGACCGTCTTACCCGAGGTTTCTTAAATGTAAGGTTCGACATGTAATACTCTCCTCTGTTCATATAGATTCTTCCCCTTTCAATAGGGACATTCTGGCTCGTATTTAATGAAATCATGTGTAATGCAAGGAGTGCGTCTAATTATTATAAACTGGCTTGTATTTCAATGTATTACATGTACATACTTACTAACAAATACGTTTTTTTTGTATATGCGATATGACACAATAGCTCTAACCCATATCAGCCCTCGCCGTATCACACCCCAAAACCCGTATCAGCCCCCGCCGTATCACACCCCAAAACCCGTATCAGCCCGGAAAACCCGTATCACACCCATTTTGGAGATTTTTCGTTTTTCAATAATTCAAAAGAAAAATAGATCATAATATAATAGTTTTTATTAGTAAGTATGTAATAAACAGAATAAAACACGTCTTTTTCCATATCACACCCAGTATCAACCCTCGACCAATATCAGCCATCGGGCCGTCGACCCTCGGGCTGATATTGCAGTCTCGGGTTGATACTGGATGTGATATGGAAAAAGCCATGCATTATTATCTATGTATTCTAGAGTTTTAGCAATGTTTTGTATTACCTTATATTCAATAATAGTATCTTGTTACAAATGGCGTTTTTTTCTGTACTCAATAAAGTTACCAAATGGTTTTGCTCTACATTTGATTAGGTTTTAGAGAGTGTGTTTTGTCTATATTTGTTAATTAAAACAATGATGTGTGTATTTCTTTATGGATGTAAAGTGATACCGATTATACGTAATGCTTTATCCTGAAATGTTATCAATATTTAATATTCTTAACTATAACAAACAGTATATATTTCTATATTTTAAATTGCTACCAGTAATATCTATTTTTATTCTGAAACGCGTTCCAATAGTTCGCTTACTTTATACAAGAATGTAAACAGTGTTTGGTTGTAAATTCAATTACGCTTCAATAAATGTGAATCTCTTTATTGTTGCAAAAAAACGTTATTTCTATATAAGTTAGAACCATTTATTTCCTTCAACGTGTTGAGAGAATACGTGTGTACTTCTATATTACAATGCATCAACAGATATTGTTTCTTCATAAAGTATTCACAATCGTGTTATTTCTTTATTCTATACAAAGTTATCTGTTTATTACAGTGAACATTTCTTTTTTATCTTTTAGCATTTTGTTCTGCATACTCTAAGAATTCTACAATTATGGGGTTTGCATAAATTACCCCACAATACTACTGTATCCATATTGGGTATTTCAATATTCTTTGCTAAGGAAGTGAGGTTATGTTTTACATTGCAGGTTCCACAACACTACTCGGACCTACACCCGCATATTCCGAATGAAAACCGACGAACGTTTACAGGTAAAATTGATATGTTAGTCATTTGTAATATACTTAAATGTCTTCGTGAACTTCAGTAATCAGCATTTGGTATTCAAAGAAAAATATCCAAGTGTGTCTGCGTGCTTAATTGACTGTGCATGAGCTAATGAGTGGACAAAAACCAACTTTTTTATAAGAAATGACCGTATATTAGTATAAATTTCGAAGAGCCAATTTACATAAAAACTGGTTATTAAAATCTCTATGTTGTTGTTTGAATGTGATTAAATTTGAGACGTATTTTTCTTAATACCAGTTCTAGTCACTTTTCTGTGTGTTCTTTATTATAAATAATATTTACCAAATCTGCCACTAAATATATGTTAGCATTATAAAGGGGTTTGACGAAGAAAAATAAAAGAACAAATTGGAAGCGACTTTGAATTATGTACGTGGGGACCGAATCGGATACAAAGGATATTATATCTGCACATGTAACATTTCATCGAATTTTTATGTCATTGAACACCGGAAATAAAAACGTCGTATATTGTTGTGTGGGAATCAAATCCGACCTGGAGAGTACCGTATGGAAGGATATTTCGCGGGGATGATATTTTCGCAATTTCGAGGGTCATTAACGTGATCGCGAAAAAAGGATCTGCAAATTAATAAGACAAACGTTAAATTGAGCAACATACTTCACTTCATAACCGTAATGACGTCATGAGTAATAGCGAGCACGCGGTTTTGACGATTCATAAAAATAAACAGTTGGTTATATCACACATCTAATCGTTTTGTTGATGATTTGTTTAACAAGATACACTCACTTGTAATATGTAATAGGCTGTAATATTTGACCATTTGACACTGTATATGCCGAGTGTTCCGTCTCTGAGCTAAAACACATTGAACATTTAGTTCCTCCAATTGTCAAGATCGCGAAATTCTATTCTGTGTTCATTGAATTTTCTAACTTAGGGTCAAAAACGCGAAAATGGAAGCTGTTTATTGGCAACTGAAATTGACACATAAATACATGTATTAAAAAAAACAAGCGGCAGGAAGGCAGTGTATGCAGTGAACATCTTCCACTAGGCAGCAATTAAGCGAACAGTAAATAATGAACAGTATGCTATATGATGTTATTTAACAGAAATCAATAAGATGATGTGCATTGAGGTCTAAACATATATACACGTACATATCTCCTTTTTTATGAGATAGGCATGGTCAATGCAATGGATGAATCATTTGGCAATATCACGAATGCCCTGAAAACAGGAGGATATTGGGACAACCTGCTGATCATCTTCACCTCAGACGTAATTGCATGCTGTTTCTATCACTTCAATATTTGTTCCTGGAAAGTCAATTTACCAAATATGTATCATGCCTAATACACATTCACAACTTTGGTTACAGTAAAATATTATTAAATATTGTAATTCATTATGTATCACTATGTTTTTGCATTATTCAATTAGATTTAAAATATCACACCTCAAAGTATTGGTGTAGTATTTGTTCCAAATGTTAAAGAAAGTTCACATGAGCTTTTCTTCTAAAGAGAGACCGTTAGACAATGGGGCCGCGTCATCAAACGTCATCACTAAATGCAGAATTAAATATATCACAATAAGATCACGTCATCAAGTTTGTGACACATTTCATGAGCAATCAATGATGGCGAGAAGCATTGAGATCATTACTTCATTTATTAAGTATGGTAAAAAAATATGAGAGACTTAACATCTTAATTTCCTGCAAAATGAAGAGAATATATAGGGATAATATTTTTTAAGGTTACGTGCTTAACCTTATAATCTTAACCTTGGATTGAACTTTCTCTGCAAAACCTCTTACTGAACCTGTAAAAAACTCACTATCAATTAAGCAAATATCTATCTTCATTACACAGGAGTGGTGTTGATTTCTATTTTATGGGAATTCACGTAAACGATGATGTTTCCTCACTGTTATTTTTCAGAATGGAGGCTCAGTAACAGATGGCGGTAATAACTGGCCCCTTCGTGGCAATAAAGGAACTCTATGGGAGGGAGGCACTCGAGTACCGGGATTCGTATATAGTCCTTCTCTCCTTTCTAAGACTGGCTATACCATCTCCGAGTAAGTAAAGTTCATTGTGAGTCATAGTAGGGCGGAGAGTAAATAACTACTATAACTACTATAACTACTATAACTACTATAACTACTATCGACATAGACTTGTCGTATTGAGTTAATGACCACAGACCGAATATAATCTCAAGTTAATTGTCATAACATCAATGATAATATTCAGAAAATTGCACCCACAATTACATCATTGAGTCGATTGCCACAACCCAAACTACAATAGTATGTTAATTGACATAACCTTAATAATGGTATTGATTCAATTGACATAACTTTAATAATTATATTGGTTCAATTGACATAACTTTAATAATGATATTGGTTCAATCGAAATAACCTTCATAATGATATTGGTTAAATTGACATAACTTTAATAATTATATTGGTTCAATTGAAATAACTTTAATAATGATATTGGTTCAATTGACATAACTTTAATAATTATATTGATTCAATTGACAAAACCTTAGTAATGTTATTGATATAATATTGAGGCAATTGACATATATACATTATAATTATGATGAGTTATGTCTTGTACACCTAATAATCCATCTTGGTTAATTTTAAATAGATATAATAGTACTATTCCGTTGTTAAGTTGTATACTAATAATTCTGCTCAATCGATACACAACGAGGTTTTCAGACATCCAAAAAGGCTGACACATTTGACTTCACAGATAATGTGATGACTTAATATCAGGTTTGAATCTTTTGTGACTGAGGAAAGAAAAGTTAGCACTTTACCCTATAGGTTGATATTATCTTTGTAGGATGATCCATGCCGTTGACTGGTTCCCGACTATGCTAAAGGCTGCAGGCGGCATTACCGGTAAATATTTAAATTATGTCATTGAGAGGCTAGATTAGCTTAATCTGTATAAGATAACTGCAATGTTACCTCTACATATTATCTGTGATAGATTGTTTTTCCTGTAATGATGATATTTCAAGGATGGCTTATTAACCTGTTGATAATTATTAGTGATACCTTATTTGTTTAAGATTTTTCTGATCAGGGTATATCAAGCAACTTTCTAAAACTGGAAAATGAATAAAAACAAGAGGCCCAATGGGCCTGAATCGCTCACCTCTTATTAATCTCACAATTGTAATTTTAAAAGTGGAATAAAATACAGCTACGGACAAAATGTCAGTGTTTGATTCATAAGAACCTATTAAAAGATTAACACATATGATGCATGTGACCTTGAATGTCGAACAAGGACATTAGGTTGAACAGAGTTTATAGTCTTCCAACCTTTTGGTTATACAAAACAAGTCATTTAAAGATTAAAACATATATTGACCACTGTGACCTTGAATACGGGCGAAGGTCATTCATTTGAACAAAATTGGTAGTTCATCCCAGCATGATAATGGCCAAATATCATCACCCTTGGCCTTTTGCTAATTGAGAAGAAGTCGTTGAAAGGTTTTAAACATATTTGACCCCTGTGACCTTGAACATATGTCAAGGTCATGTATTTGAAGAACTCTGGTAGCCCTTCATCCAAGCATGTTACTGGCCAAATATCATTATCCGAGGCCTCTTGGTTATTCAGGAGAAGTTGTTTAAAGGTTTTAAACATATCTGACCCATGTGACCTTGAATATAGGTTAAGGTCATTAAATTAAACAAACTTGGTACAAATGTAGCCCTATATCCTAGGACGCTACTGGCTAATTATCATCATTCTAGGACTTTCGGTTATTGAGAAGAAATTGTTTAAGGGTTTTAAACATATTTTACCATTGTGACCTTGAATATTTGTCAAGGACTTTCATTTTACGTAACTTGGTAGCCCTTCATCCCAGCATGCTACTGGACAAATATCATAACCCTAGGCCTCTTGGTTTTTTAGAAGAAGGTTTTAAACACATTTGACCCCTGTGACCTTGACTATAAATCATAGTAATTCATTTGAACAAACGTGGAAGCCCTTAATCACAGCATACTACTGGCCAAAAAACATCACCCTTGGCCTCTTGGTTATTCAGAAGAAGTTGTTTAAAGATTTTTGTAAGACAATTGACCCATGTGACCTTGAAAATGGGTGACGGTCATTTATTTGAACAAACGTAGTAGCCCTTTATCCCAGCATGCTACTGGCCAAAATATCATAACCATGGGAATTTGGGTTATTCAAAAGAAGTTGTTTAAAGGTTTTAAACATATGTGACCATTGTGACCTAGACTATTTGTCAATGTCATTCATTTGAACAAACTGGTTAGCGCTTCATCACAGGTTGCTGCTGGCCAAATAGCATCATTCTAGGCCTTTTGGTTATTCAGAAGAAGTTGTTTAAAGGTTTTTAATATATTTGATCCCTGTGATCTTGAATATTTGTCAAGGTCATTCATTTTATTAAACTTTGTAGTCCTTTATCCTAGCATGTTACTGGCCAAATAACATCATCATAGACTTCATAGTTATTCAAAAGAAGTTGTTTAAAACATTTTAAAGACAATTGTCCCCTGTGACCTTGTAAACAAATGAAGGCCATTCATTTGAACAAAGTTGGTAGTCCTTTATCTCAGCATGCTACTTGCCAAATATCATCACCATGGACATTTTGGTTATTCAGAAAAGGTTATTTCAAGGTGTGTTTTTTTTTTTTAATTTGACCCCTGTGACTTTGAAATAGATGAAGGTCATTGAATATGAACAAACTTGGTAGCCCTTTATTCCTGTTTGTTTCCGGCCAAATATCATCACTCTAGGCCTCTTGGTTATTAAGAAGAAGTTGTTTAAAATAAAATATTGACGCCGGACGTCGCACCTTAAGGCCAGGTGAGCTAATGATATTATTATTATTATTTTTTTATGAAAGATCCCCACATGGATGGTGTTAGTCAATGGGAAATGCTGCAGAACGGAACGAGTTCGGCCAGAACCGAGTTCGTCTACAATATTGATGACATCAAAGGCAATGCAGCCATCAGGTAAGCAGACGACACAAACAAGTACCTTTATGTTAGCTTTATTGGTTATGAAACTTTGAATAATAATTTTGGTCAAAATGTTAAACTAAATCATGTCGTACAACAACAACAACAACAACAAAAACCGAAACGAAACGGTTTTTTTTTAGGCAACAACAACGCATATCATGTAATCAATATATCATGGAGTCATAATTTTCTGTATTATACTGTTGTCCTGTCAGCAATGATGTTTCAAACTAAACATATCTTCTGATGAAGTATACAATCGTGTAGACAGACAACAAATGACTGTCTTGGTGATCTTCTCAAGTTACTTTATTGATTATAGGCGAGTTACAATCCATATATACGGAGTACTGGTACAGTGTAGGCCAATTTATCAATTGAAGTGATCAGCCAACTTACAGGTAAAGTCTCCAGGCGTGTATTATGTACTCGATATATTTGATCTCTGAACAGGTTGCGTTCACTTACTTCAAAAGATGCAATTGCCTGAAATGGTTATTCCACGTAAGTTTAACAAGGCAGGCTAGTTTGATCTTTTTTACTTTTAAGCGACACGCATCTTAAAAATTTGGTCGTCAAGAAATAGTTAAAAATATTTAAAGCAACGCTATTTTTAAGCATTAAAGTTTATATATGGAGCTGTGATTGAGAGAACGTTATGATTTTGTTGGGGTGGGGTGTCTCTGTAAGTGGTATTCCTTCACGCAAATCTTGTATCTGTTTGCATTCACTGGTGTTGAGGGATCCCGAAGATCTAGTCACAAATTGGTTGAAAAATGTCATCTTACGGTGAATGTTAGTTAGTACTCTTCATGCTGGGTTTCACATAAGGCCCTCACTAGAGATTTCCATTTATGTCTGTCTTTGGACCACTGTTGTATTTGTCCCCATGTCCAGTCTTTCTCTTTTAGTTCTTTTTCAACAGACCGTCTCTAGGTTTCATTTGGTGTTCTTCTCTTTCTTTTTCCTGGTGGTGTCCATCTTATTGCTACCCTAAGGATGGAATCTGGTTGCATTCTAAAGACATGTCCAATCCACCTCCATCTCGTTCGCTTGACTTCTTGTGAAAGAGGAATGGTGTTTGTCCTCTGATACAGGTTCTCATTTGAGATGGTCTGCGGCCAGAAGATGCGCAAAATTCTGCTGATGCATCGAGTTTGGGAGACATTCGGTGAATGTTGGGCAATACATATTAGTATATGTAGCTCACGAGTCATCAGAAAGTTTATCATACAATGTGTCATTCTGAACTATACACGCGATAATTATAGATTACCACACTGTCACGTCATTTTTTGTCGCTCGATACGTTCGCACGTGGATAAAATCTACGTTGGTATCTCACTACCGCGGTAAACTATGGAAAGACAATTGTCAATTATCAAACATACATGTGTATATTGTTCAGAATGATAAATGGGGTCGAACGTTTTAGAGGTGTTAAATATAGAAACGAAAGGATTATGGTAGAGTTGGCCTGTAAGAGGTGGTGAATTTATACCATACTGATGACAAAGACTCCAAACCAATATTTCCAGTTTGCTTGATTGATATGGCGAGTACAACTGTACGTATTGTGATATCACACGGGTTTTCCACCAGAACACCATTAGATGTGTTTCAGAAGTGTTGAATATCACATTAGTTATGACGGGGCCTCCACGACAATACATTGTACTTCCACTTGTGTATTAAAGTTGTTGAATACATATAAGTCACGGCTGGACCTCCACCCAAATACCTACAGTGTAATAAAGTTGTTGAGCATGTATTTTTGTGATGATGGGTAGTTTTCTCTAATATTTCCACTCACTTGTCCGTAAGAGTTGTTGAATATCTCCAGTACTTCTACTTGTGTTTAAGAGTTGATGAGTCTGTATAGTTTTAATAATGGGCCCATTCCTACAGGACAATCTCGTAATTACATTACAGGGTTGGTGATTACAAACTTATCACCGGAGATGCCGGCAGGAAAGACGATTGGTACACACCAAACCACGCGCATTTGCATCATCACAGTACAACAACCTCCACGTCGCCTCAGCTTTTTAACTTGAGAAGTAAGCTTACATGTTAAACCTTTCTTATATAGGTAGCAATCATGTAAACATACGTCGATAGGTATGTACCTTTTAAAGGCATTTAGACATTTAGAGTATATGCCATTTTCTTTGACAAACTCGTAAGTTACATGTATCTAAATACTACAATCGCTTTAAATTTGGGTTATGGCCACTTTTCTTCAAATTCCGATCTAAAGATTGTAGCAGAAACTTTAGTAGGAGTTGTTTTGGTTTGGTTTGTGTGTGTTTTACGTCCTATTAACAGCTATGGTCATTTAAGGACGTGCCAGATTTTAGTGGGGGAGGAAAGTCGGAGTTCCCGGGGAAAAACCACCGACCTACAGCCAGTACCTGGCGACTGCCTCACGTAGGCCTCGAACCCGCGACCCAGTGGTGGAGGGTTAGTGGTACATTTAGCAGTACTTGCCCACCGCGGCCCCAGTAGGGGTTGGATTCAATGTGTCTGTTATAATAAGGCTTGAGAAATCGATACTTTGGGCATTTTAGTCGCATATGTATATGTGTGATTAAAATTAAACATGTGCAAGTTAAGCTAAAAATCCTATTTGTGGCGTATAGTTTGAAACATATTTGTTTTCTATTCTCTCTCGTAATGCTTGAGACATGTGGATATATTTAAGCTTTCCTAGTGTTTTGCCTTCTTAATGTTTTTGTTAAAGCCCGACGTTTCTCTTTTCTTGTAATGTACGCTCGTAAATTATGAAATATACCGCTAATGTAAAGAAATATAATAATAAACACGTTTGAATTTAACGCTTTAAATCAAGGTTTAACGCAAACACGTTGAAATATCATTTACTACATAGCTCTGTCGCGGTAGATTATTAGTTACACGGGTTTTTGGCAGGGTATACCCTGCCAAAAATCCGTGTAACGAATTTATTACCCCTTTGAGTCTTTTATAATAAAAGCAAAGAAAAATAACAGGCACAGTACCTCATTTAGTTTCGTTTTATCAAATTCCTCGAACTGTTCTTCCTGATTCTTTTCTTTTAAATACGTCCTCAGCATGTTTGCCGCTCGTCTGTCCGACTTTTGTGTGTTATGTGGCACATAGTTAGCCCTTTTGGCGAGTATTTCCTCATCAGTATGCGAAGCGAACCATTTTGCCAGTTTGTAAACAGCGAAGCAGACGACGAATGCGAGTTGTCTCCCGATGCCCGGTTGCAAGATACAAAGACACGTGACCCGTATCCCCCTTGTAAAATCACGTGATTCCACCGTATTACTGCTGAGAATCACGTGACATGACCGTATACCCCCTGAGTTTTTCGTATACCCCCTGAGATTTACGAATGCGGTTTGGTACACTAGTTTTTAACCAATCAGATTCCTAGATTTTTCTCAAAGGGGTAATAAAGTACATTCTAACACGATTCGTTTGCAACACGTGTTTTGATTGGATACGGAACATGTTCTAATCTGCGATAGTATCATGATCAATCGTGTTAAGCTCCTCCCATCGCACTTCAGCCACGCCCCGTTTCTAATCAAAACAATATGGCGTCCAGCTCGCCTCTTAGCGAAATCCCGCTGATACAGGCTAGTAGGCAACAGAACAGAAACGACCGATGAAATGTATTTGTTGAATGAATTAAAAAGTAAAAAGTACACATTCCTTGTTCTTACCTCCATTTATTACTGAAACATTAGTTCCATCCGTGTGAAGGCATCTAGTTAGATCCGAAATCAAATGAAACATTTCACATGTGTCATATGAATTTACACAAAACTCTTCACAAATCTATACAAATAATCACCGATTTTGTCGGTAAGCACATATTGGTATGCATACTGACATGGAAATGTAAGAATTTGGTCAATATTAATCCAAATGTGTCATATAAACTTTGGTATCAGGACGTTTACGAACAATCCAAATATTCCGCCTCGTCAACATACAGATCCAGCGCTCGCCATTATGGGCGGGGCCAAATGACCGAGTTTGAAAGCTTCTTGCCGATTGGTCAGTCCGCTGCAGAATGACACGTTGCCAGTTCAGGTCACAAAGTACTTTACTACGTACTTTTGTACAAGGAAATACAATGTTTCTAAACATATTAGCGTAGTATATTTGTGAAGATATGTTAGAATGGGGATAGTACGTTGTTTTTTGTGTCTATACTGGCGATTAGAACATGAAACTTGGTTTAAACTCTCGACCTATCGGTCTCGAGTTCAAACCCAAATTTCATGTTCTAATCGCCAGTATAGCCACTCAAAACAACGTACTATCCCCTAATTCTAACGCGATTCGTTTGCAACGCGAGTTTTGATTGGATACGGACCATGTTCTAATCTGCGATAGAATTATGATCAAACATGTTTAGCTCCTCCCATCGCACTTCAGCCACGCCCCGTTTCTAATCAAAACAATATGGCGTCCAGCTCGCCTCTTAGCGAAATCCCGCTGATACAGGCTAGTAGGCAACAGAACAGAAACGACCGATGAAATGTATTTGTTGAATGAATTAAAAAGTAAAAAGTACACATTCCTTGTTCTTACCTCCATTTATTACTGAAACGTTTGTTCCATCCGTGTGAAGGCATCTAGTTAGATCCGAAATCCAATGGAACATTTCACTTGTGTCGTATGCATTTACACAAAACTCTTCACAAATCTATACAAATAATCACCGATTTTGTAGATAAGCACAGATTGATATGCATACTGACATGGAAATGTTAGAACTTGGTCAATATTAATCCAAATGTGTCGAATAAACTTTGGTAACAGGACGCTCACGAACGATCCAAATTTTCCGCTTCGTCAACATGACCGAGCGCTCGCCAGTATGGGCAGGGCCAAATAACCGACTTTTGAAAGCTTCTTTCCGATTGGTCAGTTCGCTGCAGAATGACACGTCGCTAGTTTAGGTCACAAAGTATTTTACTACCTACTTTTGTACAAGGAAATACAATGTTTCTAAACATATTAGCGTAGTATATGTGTTAAGGGGTGTTAGAATGGGGATAGTACGTTGTTTTTCGTGTCTATACTGGCGATTAGAACATGAAATTTGGTTTCAACTCTCGACCTATCGATCTCGAGTTCAAACCCAAATTACATGTTCTAATCGCCAGTATAGCCACTCAAAACAACGTACTATCCCCTAAATCACGTTCAATATACGCATTTACCGCGTTTATCTTTACACAGAAGTTAATTAATGTGTTGAAGCTTATTTACGAGTAAAATTAATTATCTGATTTACAGTTTTTGTTTAACACATTAAAACAAACTTAAACTTGTTGAAGCAGTACCTTAACACTTTAGTATTTAAAGTGTACAATAGTATGTTTGAACGTGTTATGTATTAAACGCATGAGCAGCTAAGTGTTGAAATAAAACTTAAACGAGTTAAACATACTTTAACAAGTTAAATGCAAAGGCTGTAAAATCATCTTGTTTTAGTAATGAACAACATTCCATGATAAATAAATGAGATTTGTTCTTTTATTTTTCCGTTGATTCAAAAATTGAAGTAATTTTTTCTCCCTGTTCTGGCTGCTTTCTTCAGTGTTGTCGTTATTCCTCTCACGTGTTCCCTCGTGTTGATCAGCAGCGAAGTTGCTTTTGAATGCTTTTTTCTTGATCAGGTGTTAACTTAGGTAGAACAAAAGAATTATTTAATTGAAATGTGAGTATAGATAATCATTCAGTGTAAAAGTTAATTTACACCCAAATGTCTTCACGCCTGTTTTGTTCATTGTCAGATGATCCCACCGAGCACCACGATATCTCCAGTCAACACCCTAACATCGTCAGTAACCTTCAGGACAAATTAGCCAACTACAGGAAAACACAGATGTCAGCACAAAATCCGGATCAGGTCCAACATGCTCTACAAGACTACAATGGCGTCTGGACCCCGGGATGGTGTTGAATGTTTCACAATAAATGTGTATTGAGACTTTTTCTTAATCATTTTAAATTTGTTACAATTGTATTTGCACGACTGCATAATTCGGGTATCACCTTTTCTGTCCGAAGCCTCCTGGGAGACGACTTGTAATGGGGAAGTTACCATTCGCAGTTGACCTGTGTATTTTGTTTTCAAAGAGCCAGAAAGTCATTGTACACCAAACAGACAAAAACGTTTTGCCGATTCGACTGTTATCTCTTCTAAAGAACAAGTTACTGAAAGGAGCTAGTATTAAATTAATTTTAACTTAGTTTATTCTGAAAGCAGGCATATCTACCTCTATATTAAGATCATAGTCCATATAGATATATGCGATAAGATACTGCAGTATCCACAATACCTAAAAAGGAATTCAAAGTTCATCTCAACTATGACTAACAGCAGACTAACTGCGAAAGTTGTTTGCACATATTCAGGTTTTATGTTTATTTGCTATGTGCGTGCCTCAGGTCACCTCCCCTCTATGCGTGCTTCAGGTCACCTCCCCTTCTATGCTCTGTGCGTGCCTCGGGTCACCTCCCCCTCTATGCTCTGTGCGTGCCTACCTCATGTCACCTCCCTCTTTATGTTCTGTGCCCACCTCAGGCCACATACCCCCACTATGTTTTGGGCATACCTTATGACACATATCCCCTTTATGTTCTACGCCTACCTTATGTCACCTCACTCCTCTTTGCTCTGTGCCCACCTTAGGTCACATTTTACTCTATGTTCTGCGCCCACCTTATGTCATCTACCTCCTCTATGTTCTGCGCTCACCTCAGGTCACCTTTCTCTCTATGTTCCGTGCCCACGTCATGTCACCTTTCACTCTATGTTTTGTGCCCGCCTCAGGTCACCATTCTATGTTCTGTGACCACCTCAGATCACCTACCCCCTCTTTGTTCTGCGCTCACCTCAGGTCACCTTTCACTCTATGTTCTGTGCCCATCTCAGCTCACCTTTCATTTTATGTTCTGTATCCACGTCAGGTCACCTTTCACTCTATGTTCTGTGCCCACCTCAGGTCAACTTACTCTCTATGCTCTGAGCCCACCTCAGGTCAACTTTTACTCTATGTTCTGTGCCCATCTCAGCTCACCTTTCACTCTGTGTTCTGTGCCCACATCAGGTCACCTTTCACTCGATGTTCTGTGTCCACCTCAGGTCCCCTTACTCTCTATATTCTGTGCCCACCTCAGGTCACCTTTCACTCTATGTTCTGTGTCCACCTCAGATCCCCTTTCACTCAATGTTCTGTGTCCAATTCAGGTCACCTTTCACTAAATGTTCTGAGCCCACTTCAGGTCACCTTTCACTCTATGTTCTGAGCCCACCTCAGGTCACCATTCTATGTTCTGTGCCCACCTCATGACACCTTTCACTCTATGGTCTGTGCCCACCTCAGGTCATCTTTCACTCTATGTTCTGAGCCCACCTCAGGTCACCTTTCATGCTATGTTCTGTGCCCACTTCAGGTCATATTTTACTCTATGTTCTGTGCCCACCTCAGGTCATCATTCATTCTATGTTCTGTGTCCACCTCAGATCCCCTTTCACTCAATGTTCTGTGTCCAATTCAGGTCACCTTTCACTAAATGTTCTGAGCCCACTTCAGGTCACCTTTCACTCTATGTTCTGAGCCCACCTCAGGTCACCATTCTATGTTCTGTGCCCACCTCATGACACCTTTCACTCTATGGTCTGTGCCCACCTCAGGTCATCTTTCACTCTATGTTCTGAGCCCACCTCAGGTCACCTTTCATGCTATGTTCTGTGCCCACTTCAGGTCATATTTTACTCTATGTTCTGTGCCCACCTCAGGTCATCATTCATTCTATGTTCTGTGTCCACCTCAGATCCCCTTTCACTCAATGTTCTGTGTCCAATTCAGGTCACCTTTCACTAAATGTTCTGAGCCCACTTCAGGTCACCTTTCACTCTATGTTCTGAGCCCACCTCAGGTCACCTTTCATGCTATGTTCTGTGCCCACTTCAGGTCATATTTTACTCTATGTTCTGTGTCCACCTCAGGTCACCTTTCATGCTATGTTCTATGCCAACGTCAGGTCACCTTTTACTCTATGTTCTGTGCCCAACCCCTGGTGCCCTTTCACTCAATGTACTATGCCCACTTCAGGTCACCTTTCACTCTATATTCTGTGCCCACTTGAGGTCCCCATTCACGCTATGGTCTGTGCCCTCCTCAGTTCACCTTTCACTTTATGTTCTTTGCCCACCTCAGGTCACCTTTAACTCTATGCTCTGTACCCGCGTCAGGTCATCTTTCATTCTATGTTCTGTGTCCACCTCAGTTCACACCTTTCACTCTTTGTTCTGTATCCACCTCAGGTCACCAATCTATGTTTTGTGCCCACCTCAGGTCACCTTTCACTCTATGTTCTGTGCCCACCTCAGGTCACCTTTCACTCTATGTTCTGTGCCCATCTCAGCTCACCTTTCATTTTATGTTCTGTGCCAACCTCAGGTCACCTTTCACTCTATGTTCTGTGCCAACCTCAGGTCACCTTTCACTCTATGTTTTGTGCCCACCTCAGGTCACCTTTCACTCTATGTTCTGTGCCCACCTCAGGTCACCTTTCACTCTATGTTCTGTGCCCATCTCAGCTCACCTTTCATTTTATGTTCTGTGCCAACCTCAGGTCACCTTTCACTCTATGTTCTGTGTCCACCTCAGTTCACACCTTTCACTCTTTGTTCTGTATCCACCTCAGGTCACCAATCTATGTTTTGTGCTCACCTCAGGTCACCTTTCACTCTACTATGTTCTGTGTCCACCTCAGGTTCCCTTTTACTCTATGTTCTGTGTCCTCCTCAGGTCACCTTTTACTCTATGTTCTGTGTCCACCTCAGGTCATCTTTCACTCTATGTTCTGTGCCCACATCAGGTCATCTTTCAGTCTATGTTCTGTGGCCACCTCAGGTCACCTTTTACTCTATGTTCTGTGTCCACCTCAGGTCACCTTCCACTCTATTTGCTGTGCCCAAATAGGTCATCTTTCACTCTATGTTCTGTGCCCATCTTAGGTCCCCATTCACGCTATGTTCTGAGCTCTCCTCAGGTCATCATTCATTCTATGTTCTGTGCCAATCTCAGATCCCCTTTCACTCTATGTTCTGTGTCCACTTCAGGTCACCTTTCACTCTATGTTCTGAGCCCACTTCAGGTCACCTTTCACTCTATGCCCTGTACCCACCTCAGGTCTACTTTCACTCTATGTTCTGAGCCCACCTCAGGTCACCATTCTATGTTCTGTGCCCACCTCATGACACCTTTCACTCTATGGTCTGTGCCCACCTCAGGTCACCTTTTACTCTATGTTCTGTGTCCCCCTCAGGTCACCTTTCATGCTATGTTCTATGCCAACGTCAGGTCACCTTTTACTCTATGTTCTGTGCCCAACCCCTGGTGCCCTTTCACTCAATGTTCTATGCCCACTTCAGGTCACCTTTCACTCTATATTTTGTGCCCACTTTAGGTCCCCATTCACGCTATGGTCTGTGCCCTCCTCAGTTCACCTTTCACTTTATGTTCTTTGCCCACCTCAGGTCACCTTTAACTCTATGCTCTGTACCCACGTCAGGTCATCTTTCATTCTATGTTCTGTGTCCACCTCAGTTCACACCTTTCACTCTTTGTTCTGTATCAACCTCAGGTCACCAATCTATGTTTTGTGCCCACCTCAGGTCACCTTTCATTCTATGTTCTGTGCCCATCTCAGCTCACCTTTCATTCTATGTTCTGTGCCAACCTCAGGTCACCTTTCACTCTATGTTCTGTGCCCACCTCAGGTCACCTTTCACTCTATGTTCTGTGCCCAACTCAGGTCACCTTTCACTCTATGTTCTATGCCCACCTCAGGTCACCTTTTACTCTATGTTCTGTGTCCACCTCAGGTCACCTTTCACTCTATGTTCTGTGCCCACCTCAGGTCACCTTTCACTCTATGTTCTGTGTCCACCTAAGGTCACCTTTCACTCTATGTTCTGTGCCCACCTCAGGTCACCTTCCACTCTATTTGCTGTGCCCACATAGGTCATCTTTCACTCTATGTTCTGTGCCCACGTCAGGTCACCTTTCACTCTATGGTCTGTGCCCACCTCAGGTCACCTTTCACTCTATGTTCTGTGTCCACCTCAGGTCACCTTTCATTCTGTGTTCTGTGCCCACATCAGGCCACCTTTCACTCTATGTTCTGTGCCCACCTCAGTCCACCTTTCACTCCATGTTCTGTGTCCACCTCAGGTCACCTTTCACTCCATGTTCTGTGTCCACGTCAGGTCACCTTTCACTCTATGGTCTGTGCCCACCTCAGGTCACCTTTCATTCTGTGTTCTGTGCCCACCTCAATCGTCCACCTTTCACTCTATGTTCTGTGTCCACCTCAGTCCACCTTTCACTCCATGTTCTGTGTCCACCTCAGGTCACCTTTCACTCTATGTTCTGTGTCCACCTCAGTCCACCTTTCTCTCTGTGTTCTGTGCCAACCTCAGTCCACCTTTCACTCTATGTTCTGTGCCCACCTCAGGTCACCTTTCACTCTATGTTTTGTGCCCACCTCAGTCCACCTTTCACTCTGTGTTCTGTGCCCACCTCAGGTCACCGTTCATTTTATGCGCTGTGCCCATTTCGGGTCAGCTTTCCACTCTTATTTTCTGAGGCTTTCTCATACACCTACATTGTATGATTCCCCTAATGACTAAAAACAGTGAGTTCATTTAATTACGGTTTCGGGCGCCGTAGGATAGTCCAAAATTCTACCAGTGAGACAACTCACTGGTTGTAGTTTAAATAACTAGTTAAAGCCACAGCACACGTAGTTGTAACTATCTACGATTTGAAGCTGTGTTTGGTCTTTTCAATATATGACCTGCAAGCGTTGTTACATTATTACTTTTTAACCTCAACATTCGCCCCTTACCTTTATAAATCCTAGTTAAAGCAGTAGTAAGGATCTTGTCAATTTACCAGAAACGCAAGGAGGCAT